TATCCTACAAGGTTCCTGAAAATAATTCTTAATTTCTGTTACCTAGAATCCTAATATTTAGCTGAAATTATAATTTCTACTGGGGTTCCAAATCCCTTAGAGTATCATCTCCAACCTTCCAAATCCCCGCATTAACTCCTCTAAACCCTAAGCCCTAAACCTAGAGAAGCTCTCCTAAGTCCACAGCAACCCAGAGCAGCGCAAGGATGGCAAGACCAAGCAGCCCGGACCGCTGGAAGTGCTTTCAAACTTGTGGCTCTCCGGTGTGAAGTCGAATATTCCCGGTAAAGTGACAGTCTCAATGACGATGGTGATAATGACGATAACAAGGAGACTGCACAAAGAGTATCTGCATAGGCAGTACGCATCGCTAGAGATCATTTGAGCAAAGCATCTTCCTCAAACCCCCAAGCCGTGAAAATCATCTCGCTGATGAGTGACAGCCCATGGCCTGGTACATGTCATGGGAGTATAGCAGATGAAGTCAAGATCGGAAAGGCATGACGACAGTAGCTGCGAACTAGCATCGCACAAGTAAGGGCACTTTTGGGCACATGGCTGTCATTTGAACAGTAACCCTGAGGGATGCTGTCAAGAAAAGTTTCGGGCCAGTTTGAAGTGAGGGTTAGCAGTTCGGGGTTCAGGGATTTGCATTGCATGCATGAGTTTTAGAGTGGTGTTTGTTGTTATTATTCTGCTTTTCTTTCAAAGCAGAAGGGTAGGAGAATCTAAAATGGGGCCGGGAATTGCGGACAAGGCTTGTGTGGTGTCCTGGTACTGGGGTGTTCACATCTTCAGGAAACCCCGTATGAAGACCAGTGTGTATGCGAGTTCCCCAGTTCTGTGCCCCCGTCCTCGAACACCGTGTATTACTACTAGTCCCATGAATATTTCTACCATGGTTAGTATTATTACTATGATTATTATTAATGCTATTATGATTCTTATGAGTATCCTAATTAGTACGGTTATTCTTTCTACTACTGTTGAATTTGTGGAGATGGTGAGGAATATCAGGCTATTCACCGCTCAAGCCAGAGTGGCCTTCAGCCGAAGTAACAAGATTAAGAATTTGGGCTCCCACCCATTAACAGTCCATAATAGGGGTCATATTCAGGGCCCTATATTTTTTATTACTGTCCCCACCCAGCTGTTAATGAGTGGGGGCAGTAACCATTTAAGAATCGTCATGAGAAGAACTAGTTTAGCCATATAAATAATAATGGTCATAATAGTCGTAATAGTAATACTACTAATACGAGTTGTAATGTACAAATAACAAGAGTGATCTTAGTAATAGTTCCATGTCCACGCTGACAGGGCTCTACTGCACCGAGTTGTGTTCAGATGCTCTGGGTTCCCTCTCCACGTACCTGCAATCTTGACACCGGTCATCGAATGTCGGGTGTGCAGGACCCAACATTGAGGATCCGTTCGAGACGACGTCGAACTTGGGCACTTGCATGTGGGGCGCTCTTTTTTTTGGGCTGCCTCTGGTGTTGTGAAGCTTGAAGAAGTTCTTATGCAGACGAAGGAGCTTGAGGCTTACAACTTGAAGTTGCTGCTAGGCAAGCTCAGAAATCACAACGTGGCCTCTAGCAGAATCTCAACAAGACTTGATGCAGCATAATTTGTCCTTCTGGCGTAGCAAAAACGGACCCTGCAGGTAAAGAGGCTTGGGAGCTGAATTGAAGTCAATCACTTCCCCCCAGCTAGCAAACATGTTTCCGTGCTAATGAATGAACATTCCACCCACCATGATGTAGCATCAGGGGGAGGGTTTGCTGGAAGGGCTAGAACAGCCTTGACTGGAGGGTCTTCACTTCCTGAGGAGCTGCATTATTTGAGGTAAGATTAGACAAGTAGACAAAGGAGTTGGCTCGAATCTTTCAGATCTGGTAATCAAATGAACAAATGTACTCTTTACATCCAACGAACTTTGGCCTCATGCTCTGACGCAAGAATTGAGTAGTGTGGCCAGATCAAAGCAGTGGTTGGGGAAATTATGTCTTTCAGGGGTCGGAAGTTTATGCTGTGTCGCCAGGGAGGGATCTGTTGTTTCCGGGGGACGGTGACTTTCTTCCGAAACTATGAAGCCTAACTCAGTCCAAGAATGCTGGAACTAGCCCAAGATCATGTGGGTGGTAGGGGCTGTGTTATAATAGGGACCCCTAAACCCTAAACCCTAAACCCTAAACCCAAAAAGGGACCATAATTTTGACAACCACCCATGTGTTTCTGGCACCTCAGCCCCAACTTAGTTAACAATCTGTGCTGGCCTGGCCAGGCTTGAGTGACATAGGAGTGATTCTTGCTGCCCAACTTCGGAGCTGTCATATGGGGATTCCCCAAAATTAGGGGTAGCTTTTTTGGGTCTCCATAATAAGGACTATAAGAATTTTGGGGTCTACATTCGTATTTTGGGAAACTACCATATACTTTGTGATAGGGGGACCGGCATAAACGCTCTCCTCGAAAAATGACCTTGAAGCTCATTGACCCCGCCTTGCATTTTCTTCCTGATGCCACGCATATGGAGGATCCAGCACCCCTGCCAGACCCTAGGGATGTTGTAGTGTCTAATAGTGAGAAACTGAGCGCAAGCAGGTACAAGGCTGCAATTCATAAGCAGGATATAGAAAGAACTATGATTGTCCTCACCTCGGCGAGAACGAACTGAAGCGGCCATATCCCCTAGACTCAGAACCTGAACAGGGCCAGGACCCTCATCCCAAAACCCTAAACCACAAATCCTGATCTTTGCTTTGGGCCACCCAGAGCTCTGCTCTCATCCTCTCGCGATCACCCTAGACTCAAAGATGTGTAGTGGTTGCTAGTAAGCAATGGAAGGATGGATCCCTATAGTAGTCCTTGTACAATCCCCAAGGATGTCATAGTTTCCATTGTCTTTTCTGTTCCTTCATTCCCACCCTAAATCCTAAACTCTTAGCCCTAAACCCTAAACAACAGCCAGAAAGGCTCTTCCAGCCCTGATCCTTGACCTGCGACTTTTCATTATCTCTGGATATAGCCCCTATGGAACTCCCGGACATTGTAGTTTCCAGTTCTCTCTTCACCACACCCCTATACCCTTATATAACCTTATATAACCGCATGTAACACCATAAAACCCTATATAAACCTCTCTTAACCCCATGGAACCCCATATAACCCTATATAGCCCTATATAACGCTATATAGCCCTATATAACCTTTTATAACCCCATATAACCCTATGTGCAGGCACTGGCTCAGCATGAGCCGTCTGTCTGAGGACACAGGGCTTCAAGCTCCCAGTTCACGGTTTACTGGGATATTTGTGGGAATAGATATCTGATTAGTATGGACCAGAAATTACTACGTATTCCCTAGAAAGCCATGAAAGATTATTTCTAGAGGCCCCCCAACATATACATAATCTCAGTTTTCCATTGCATTTTCCATTTGCTTTTCCATTTGATTTTCCAGTATTGGCCTAGTGATTAGGGGTCCCTTTGAAGGGTAATAGAGGTTTATCGGGGTATATCGGGATTTGACAGGGTTTAGGGTTCATGATTCATGAGGAGCTCATAATTCAAAAGGCCCTTGTTTGTTAGTGTGCTGAGCCATCATGGTAAAAAAAGAGTTGAAAGACCAACGAGAGCCAGTCCCGTAAACGTCCGTATAAACCCCTAGTTTCCATTTCATATTCCATGTGCGTTTCTATTTGATTCTCCATTCTTGGGTTCATAACTGTAGCGGGAGCTGTAGAATCGCCCAACATAGTAGTTTCCATTTTCTTTTCCATTCCCCTATATACCCCCACAGAACCCTTGATTGCTTCATATACCCCCATATAACCCTAGATAACACTGTCATACCACATTGGGGCAACATCGCTATACAACCCCTATATACTAACAGCCATATTTGCGCCAGTCCTAAGCAATCAGTTCCTTTTCAAGGCTCAGGTGGGTGTGGTGACCAGGGTTATTACATAGGGATATAATAGGAATGGAAAAGAACATGGAAACGACCAAGTTATTTAGTGACAGTGTTTGGCGTTTTTGTTGCAGATATTTATGATTTTCCAAACAGCAGCCTTGACACCATGGCCCTCAAATTGTGGAGTGAATTTGATATTCTCAGCTCTTGCAATGCTAAAGATTTTGATGAGTGACGTGTGCACGCTTGAACTGTCATGGAACCTACACCTCAAATCCTCCATGCCTAGGAAGCCTGAAATGTTCGAGCCCAAACATCCTTGAAGTCTGAAATCCTGAAGCTCGTAGTATCCTGAACCTTGGGCGCTCAACCTCAAATCCCAGTAAACCTCCATGGGGTAGTTTTTCAAAATAAGGGAACCCAAAATAGACCCTCATATAGTATAACCCATATTATGGAGAACCCCAAAATCAATTTTGAACGCCCTAAATGGTAGGTTCCATTTTCTGCTCCATTATCCCAATATAACCCCAATATAGCTTTCCATTTTCTTTTCCAGTATCCCTATAAAACCCCAATATAAACTAATCTATAATCACAGTTTCCATTTTATTTTCCATTTCATTTTCCATTTGATTCTCCATTGTTGCGGGGTAATATCCCTAAACCTGATAAAGCCCCTATATAGCTCCAATCTATACGCTATAATCCCTGTATAACCCTAAGTAAACTATTAAGCCCCAATATACTGTAGTAGTTTCCATTTCTGTTCCATTATCCACCTAAATCCTAAACCCTAAACCCTAGATCCTGCATATCTCATTGTTTGCATAACCCCAAGTAAACCTATATAACCCCTATATAACTCCAACCTATACCTTATAATCCCTATATAACTCCTATATAACTGCTTATAATCCCTATATAGCCCCCATATTATAAGTTCAATATATACCCTCTAATCCCTAAACCCTAAAGCCTAATCCCTCTATAACCCCCAAGTAACCCCCCCCTTATAACTCCAATCTATACCTTATAATCCCTATATAACTCCTATATAACTCCCTATAATCCCTATAGAACCCCAAGTAAACCTTAGACCCTAAACCCTAAACCCTAATCCCTAAAAAAAACCAAGTAAATGCCCCGCATGGACAGGAGCTTTCGCGCTCTAAGAAGATCTGCAGTTCCGGCGCCATCGCGCTAGCAGTGCCCCGGTGGCAGTCATCCAGATGTAGGGTTTAGGGTTTAGGGGCTGGGGCGAGGTAGGGAGAATGGAAAATGAAGTGGAAACTGCTGTAGTGGCGTTTTATAGGGTTTGGGACCAAGGGTTCAAGTCATAAGGAGATGAGGATATATGTGGGTTTCAGTAGGGTTTAGGCCTGTAGGTTGGAGGGTCTGGGATTTGGGGTTTCACAAGCCAGTTGTTTGAGTCTTTTTGGAGAGGTGCTCTGCAGGGATAGTACAAGGGTTTAGGGTTTAGGGTTGAGGGCTTGGCGCTTCACAGAAGGATGTGTGCAAGTCGGATCTCTGTCATGCGGCCGGTAGAGCTCATAGTAGAACCTAAGCCCTGAAGCCTGAACAGTAGTTGCTAATGGAATTTGAGATCCATTTGAGGTACCCTGTATCATGAGTGTACAAGCAACCTAGCACCTCTATATTGGAAATTATCCCTATAGACCCTTACATTCCCAGCTCCCATGTAATTTTCCATTCTCTTGTCCATTTTGATTCTCCATTATTCCCTCAAGCTAATCCCTAAACAGTAGTTTCCACTTTCTCTTC